GCTATTTAAGTGATGTTTGAGGGTTATTTTGGGACGGGTTCAGACTGATTTCGCTACAGTTTTCAGGAGTTTTAAATGTACCTATTTTTTTTTTTAAGGGAGACTTTGTCACTGTTTTTGGCTAGTTTTTCTAGCTAATTTTGTAACATTTAAAATTAATGTTTTGGGCTTACATGAAAGCTATTCGGGAATTTTAAAATTGTTGTTTGGAGCATTTTAAATGTGGTGTTTGAGGCTTTTAAAAGTGTTGATTTGGAGTGCTTTATAGTGTTTTTTTTTTGTTGACCTCAGAAAGGTTTTGGGCACCATTTAAGCACTGATTTACATGTTGATTTGGAAACTTTAAAAGTTGCTATTTTGGGCCGCTCAAAACATTATCTTGGAGTAGATTTAAACACTTCTCTTGAGGGCCGATTTAATTACAATATTGAAAGAATTTAAACATTTTTTTAGGCTGATTCACTTGCTTTTCCCCCGCTTTGGCTTTACTAGTTTTAGAAGTGATTCGGCCTCCTTTTGTTTTATTTATTTTTAAACGTTAAGTCATAAAGATGGGGATTGATGATTTAATTAATTGGAAGATATAGAAAACCTTCAATCACCTTAAGCATAAGTTAAAGAGTAAGCTTCCTTGGGTTTTAGGAGCACACCCTAGGCGAGAGTCCATTCACCTAGCCCTCAGCATGGTCTTCCTAGATTTTAGGAACACACCCTAGGTGAGAGTCCATTCATTAAATCCTCAGCATGGTCTTCCTAGATTTTAGGAACACACCCTAGGTGAGAGTCCATTCATTAAATCCTCAGCATGGTCTTCCTAGATTTTAGGAGCACACCCTAGGTGAGAGCCCATCCATCTAATCCTCAGTATAGGTTTCCTAGACTTTAGGAGCACACTCTAGGTGAGAGCCCATCTACCTAATCCTCAGCATGGTCTTCCTAGATTTTAGGAGCACGCCCTAGGTGATAGTTCATCCACCTAATCCTCAGCATAAGCTTCCTAGATTTTAGGAGCACATCCTAGGTGAGAGTCCATCGACCTAATCCTCAGCATAGACTTCCTAGATTTTAGGAGCACACCTTAGATGAGCGTTCATCTACCTATTTTATGAATAAATAATGAAACTTGGCACTTGACCCTGATTCACAAACTGATCAAGACACTAGACACCAGGATGCACCGAGATGTAGTTCATGTTTCTTTAATTAAATCAACAGTGAAATTCTCATAATGACTTAACCTATAATAAAACCCAGTGCATCGGAATTTGAGCTTGAATATTACACTCAAATCCTCCTAGCAATTGGAGAAATTTCTTAACGCCACATATGGATCCTCGGACTAGGATGAGTCTAGGGATTAGGTGGCGAGGGCGATTACGACATTGCTTATGTGTGCTTAAACGAGGGATATTAGGTTAGATTATTAGAATAATATCTCCTACCTCAAGGATCTTCAATAAGAGAGAGAGAGAAGGACCTATGATACTATTCGCCGATTCTTGGTGGGATTGTTGCCCCCAACTCTTAGGTTGTCAGTAGTTCTAGCACAATTAGAGTGACTAGTCTGTGGACTATACGACTTTACAAAATATTTACAAAAATAAAATAAAATTTTTTTTTGCATGATTAAAAGAAATCTGCAAAAAAAAAAAGACTTAAACAATAACTTTTGCATGAAAAATCAAATAATTTTTTTATAAAAATTTATAAAGTCCATGGTTAGTCATTTGGATTGAGGTTAAGGACTACCTCTTGTAGATTGTCAAGTTGACAACTCTTACTCAAGGTCGGGAAGCACACAGCCCAGCTCTGAGCCCCCTACTTTTACCAATGTCTTATACCTAGTCTTGAGCTGTCATATGTGGTTACAGGTTTCTTTTGCTCGTGAGTTTTACTACTCGTTTTTTATGACTTTCATGCTAGGTTTTCTTGCCTTATTTATTTTTCTTGCAAGAATGTTTAAATATGTTGTAAATCATACTACGATCACAATATTGATCACCCAACAGTAGCAGATACCCAGGTACGCTTTTACAGTTTATCTACAGTATTTTACTTTACTGCGTTTACCTTTCAAGTACATTTTATTTAAACCGTAATTTTATTACCCTGCATGCAAACCGAAACACTGACATCAAAACTGTGAACAAAACTGTGAAACATAAACTACGTTAAACCCTGGAGTCATCGCGATGACAAGAGCTTGGAGCCAACTTTGTGGGCAGCGACAAGAGCTTGGAGCCAACTCACGGCGAGGAGCTCCGAGGAGCTCAGAATAAGCAATAACAAGGAGATCTTCTTCAGCATTTATCTCTTCCTTAGCATAATAACAATCCATAGGACTTCTATGTAGCTCGCCTAGCGCGACGTAAATCCTCACACTTCCTTTTAGACTCTTGTACAACTATACTCTTATAGAGTGTCGAGTTGACAACTCTTATTCAAAATTGGGAAGCACACAGCCCAGCTCTGAGCCCCCACATTCACCAAAGTCTTATAACCAGTCCTGATCTTTCATATGTGGCTAAGTGTTTCGTTTGCTTGTGATTTATACGACTCTTTTTTATAATTATTATGTTAGGTTTTCTCGCCTGGTTTAATTTTCTTGCAAGTTTATTTAAACCTGTTGCAAATCAGCTCGCAACAATAATAATAACGGTAGCAGATACCCAGGTACGCTTTTACAGTTTATCTACAGTATTTTACTTTACTGCGTTTACCTTTCAAGTACATTTTATTTAAACCGTAATTTTATTACCCTGCATGCAAACCGCTGACAGCAAAACTGTGAAACATAAACTACAATTTTCAAACACTTAAACCCTGGAGTCATCGCGATGACAAGAGCTTGGAGCCAACTTTGTGGGCAGCACGGCGAGGAGCTCAGAATAAGCAATAACAAGGAGATCTTCTTCAGCATTTATCTCTTCCTTAGCATAATAACAATCCATAGGACTTCTATGTAGCTCGCCTAGCGCGACGTAAATCCTCACACTTCCTTTTAGACTCTTGTACAACTATATTGTGCGACATGAGTCTTAACTCGATTTAGGTTTCGAGGTTATCGTACGGTACGATGTAAACCCTCTTATCTCTGCGGGCTATTTGCATAATCAGGTATTATGCAAGTGTAAGTCCCAAATAATAAAACTGACAATATCAAACACTTAATTAATTTCGTCTCCAAAATGCAGCCACACAGTAGGATAGTTTGGGAAGTCACTGAGGATTCTCCTCAGATCAGTGACATCTCCTACCTTCTCCTTCCTTTGGACTCCTAAAAATAAGTGTTCCGCATTGAGCCATTTCCACTTGGTTTTCCTCATCCTACCTTGAAAACCTAAACCTTGAATTCTTGAAGACTAGAACCATTGATCATTATCGAGAGTTTTCTCAAGTGACTCCCGTCATTTGGGATGTAATTAACTATAGGGGCTTGCCTCTATAGGGAACTTGGAACCCAGGTAAAATAAACCCTATTTAATCTTTGTATTAGATAGGGGAATTTGTCAGTCATATATAAAAGGTTCGCAAACTAAATGGATGTCACAAATTTCTTAGTTTGCAGGATTGGGTCTATCGCCGAGGTCTACACTTATCTTTCGGGAAGGTGTAGTATTCGCGGTATCAGGCACGATTATGTAAACTATTGGACGAATGAGATCCATTTGGTCTCATTTTTCAAAAATTAAAACATACTACTTTCAAAACCCAAACTATATATTTATTATATTAAATTAAATTTCAAAAATTATTTTTTCATATTCATATTTTCAAATCTATCTATATCGAAAAAGTTGACCGACAAATACACGCACACTAGCATCCACCATAACTACTCACCAAGTGCAAAGAATTCACTTCACCACTCCCAATAGAGAGATCCAACCCCCACAGAGAAAAACTACTCTCCTCAATGCATAACAACTCAGAGACAAATAACACACGCCCACAAAAAATGCAAACCAATATATAACTCCCAGATAGACCAACACAGATGCAACAACATGGCTAAATGAAACGAACAAAGATAACATAAAAAAATTTAAAGGCAAAGAGCTCCAAAAAAACGCAAAGGTAACGTCAAAAAACCAAACCACGAAATATGAATCCATGGCCCACTGAAATCCCACAAAATGCAAGCAATATTAAAAAATGACAAAAACCAACCCACAAAAAAAGGACAGAGATCAAAGATACCTCCAAAGAGATCGGATTGTATGGCACGATGAAGCTTGAGTCAGGGCGGAGTGGAACAAGGGGGAATGAGGGTAGAGATAGTAATAAAACAACAAAAAAGCACGAAACAAGCATAGTAACCCGTGGCATTAAAACGTCAGTAAGTCGCGCAATATTATTTAAAATGTTGAATTAACGCAAATTCGCAGTGCATTATTGCATCGCTCCACCAAACACATGATAACTCCCATTGACTGACTAAATTTACAATGCAGTTTTCATTATTAAAAAATATCACATCACAAACAAAATTGATTAACAAGGCATGTGACACATTCCTATGGTGCAACCAATTTCAAAGCAACTTAAGTTGCCATAACCCAGAGAATTTGCACAAAAAAGGCCCGACATTTTTTAAAATTGCAAACATATTCTTAGTTGGTCAATGCCTTTCTTAAAGCTAAAATAATTTATAAAATCTGAAGAAGAATTTTAAAATTGCAAAAAACATGTTTACAAACCATTCCAAAATGAAAAAAAAAATACATCATAATTCTCATTTTTCTAGTGAGAAATAATTACCACAGCTCTAATCACCAGGGCACTTAAATCACCATGGAGGTTTAAGAAGAAGCTCTTTTCTGGGGGCACTCAGATGAGAGGTGACCTGGCGTGCCACACTCATAACAGGTTCGCCTCTTCTTCTTCTTTGATTTCCCAGCACCGGAGCCACCATCTCTTATCTCGTTACCTTCCTGCTGCTTCTCATGTGATCTCGAACCGGATTCACTCTGCCCGCTCTT